CAGGAGGCCCGGAGTCAGCCAGCATCAGCACTGGGGGCTGGAGACCTCGTGACGGGGACATGAAATCCACTCCGCCCACTTCCCCTGCACATTGTGACCCTCACACCTCCACCGACACATCCGCAGCCGCAGCGAGCTCACTACCTGTCATCCCTGTGCTGACCTAAAGTCACCCTGCGAGCCAGGAGGCTGGGGCCGGCCCAGCTCACGGCCCCATGAATCAACCCCCCTAGATCTTGACTCACGTCCCCAATGTCCTGATCCCTCAGGATCTACCACAATCACACACATACACTCTCGCACTGATACACACACACACACACACACACACACAGTCCATCAGCAAGGACACACCCACTGTCAGACACGGCCACACTTGTGCATGCACACATCTGTCACACACATAACACAGCTCTTCATATGCAGTCACACATGAGCATAATACACACCATTACATACACACTCCATCGTACACATGCGCTCACACACAGATGTGCATATACACACAATACACACACCATCACATGCAGACCCCGTGACACAAATACACCCTTTCACACACCCCCCATCATGCACACCCTGTCGTGGTTGTTGTCTGTGGTCGGCAAGTCAGGGCCTCGGGGAGGTGCCCGAAGCACAGCAGCCGCTCCTTTCGCACTGATCCCCACACTACCCAGAGGACAGGGCCCCCGTGCCCATCCCCGTCCCCCAGGCCCCTACCTTGCGTCAGCACTTGAGTGTCTTCTTCATCATGCCAGAGTTCTGACTGTCTACCTTCCCGGTGGACAGTCCCCAGGGCTGTTACCAGTCCCCAGGTTGATTTGGCAACAGAAAGAAAGAAAGCAAGCAAAGGTAGAAACCAGCTTCTAGGGTTTGTTTCAGAGTTCCGGGAGGGGAGGGAGAGCAGAGAAATGGATCACAGCATCCTGAGCTCCCAAGTGAGGTTCAAGGGGGCCACCACTTGGGGCCCTGAGAAGTCTCACTGTCCAGGTGAGAGGTGGAGAGATTTATGGCCCGGGTCTTGGGAGAGGAAGCAGCTGGGGAATTTTCTACTCTTACTTTGTTGTCCGCAGGTCCGGAGCTAAACAACAGTGTTCAAAGTCATCTATAACGGGTAGTCGTCTGCACCTGGGCCTGAAGACCACCAAAGGGGAGGAGGAGGAGGGGGAAGGGTCGTCTAGCCTCTCATAGTGTCCTTGAAGTGTTTTTTACCAGCTCTATCTCCCAGCCTTCCTGCCTTGTTAACTCCCATTTCTGCCTGACAGTGGGAGGTCCTGTTCTGAAAGTGAGCCTGGGTCTAACAGTAGCCCCACCCTGATCTCTGGGACATGCTCCTTGGAGCCCCCCAGCAGCCCAGGCTACATAGGGTCACAATGAAAGACGAGAAGGCATGCCCCAGACAGGAGATCCTGCTGCTACGTCAGAAACCAGGTCCGGCAAGACCCACCCCAGCACATGCCAGCCCAGCCAAGTACAGCCCAGCCCAGCCCTACCAGACCCAACGTGATCAACCAGGTTCTTCCAGACACAGCCAGGCTGGCACGTGTCACACGCCCACCCATAATAACCCACCAGGGAGATGGGCATGGCAGCCGCACCAGGCAGACTTGGCACAGGGGCAGCTGGGGTGCTCCTCCATCCTGCCCACGGACTTAAGACTCCAGCCCACACCCATGTGCAACTGTCCTTCAATCTGTCTCCATGTGTACACGTGCACACAGACACATGCCACAAGGACATACACACATGCACACGAACACATTCGAGTGTCTACATGCAAGCACACACGTAGAAATGGGTGCATGCGCATGCACATGTGTAAATGCACAAGCCACCCACCACCCACAAACACACCTACCCTTTCCTACTGAGTATGTGTCTCCAGAAGCCGGCTCTGGAGCACTCACAGTCCCGACCCCTGGTTGGCACTGACCAGCACAGTGGTTTCCACCACACCTGCCCAGAGTGGGAACACCTGGGCAGCCCCTGCATGGGACCCAGCCAGCTGCAGAGTGGAGGCCAGGAGCCAAGTGCCAGGGTTGCCCAAACCTTCCACTCCCCCAGGGGGACCCTGTGAAACCCAGGGTGAGTATCCCCGACCATGACATGCTCAAATGCAAGATGAGTGCCCAGCTCCCAGGCATACATGGGGGTACGTGCCCAGGAATGAGGACAATGCCGGGAGGGCAGCCAGATGACTACAGGTCCTTAGGCCCCACTGCCCAGTCCCCTGGCGCCCACAGAGCCTGCGTGGGTGCAGCTGTGTCCCGTTACCTCCAGCAGATAAGGCTCTATGCGAGGATCCAGTCCGTCAGAGACACCGGCTTCACGGGGTAGGCCAGCATGCAGGGGCTGCTGTAGTACTGGGTGCAGCCGACCAGGTAGCCCCGCAGGCAGACAGGCACCCAACCCGCAGCCACTAAGTGACACCCCATATAGGGCGTCCTGCCCGGGCCAAAGCTAACAGAGCCAGGTGCCTTTCAAAGGGTTGTGGGAGGCCAGTACCCATTGACACCATTTCAGCCTGAGCTTGGGCTGTGGTCAGTCACCTTCACACCCACTTGCCAATCCAGCTCCCGCCTGCAGCCCTTCCCAGACAGACCACACCCCGTTTGTTGCCTGTTCCAACATGCACCCCCCACAAGCACCAAACATGTTCTGGGCCAGGAAAAGAACTGAGCTGTGCCCAGCAGCCACCACCACACACTTGCCAAGACCCTGCCCTTGGCCCAAGGAGGCCACTCACCTTCCCAGAAGCCAGGCAGGGTCAGGGAGCAAGGGTGGGACCAGCCATGTGACTGTGGCTCAGATTGGGGGGCGGGGAAAGAGTCAAGTCTGAGGAGCCCTGAGGATGGTAGTACTCCCGCAGGAATCTGACGTTGGACAAAAAAATCCAGGCTGTGTGTATGACCACAGCAGGGCCAGTGGCCGGGGGCCTGGGCCCTGGGGATGTTGAGGCTTGATCAAACCCACCTCTGTCTCTGTGTGTTTCTATGTGTGTGTGCGTGTGTGTCTGTTGTGGGGGGGCAAATCTAGGGCGGTTCAGGCCCTCCATGCCCCCCCATACCCACTTCTATCCCCCAGGAGTGGCTTTTCTCCTGGCTTGCCTGCACCCCCCAACCCAGACTCAGTTTCCTTTGTGTAGGGAAGGGGATCCTGCCCCCAACTTCATGATGCTGTCGGCCATGAAGACCAGCAGGAAGAGCAGCTCCAGGCTTTTGGTCAGGCTGCAGGGAGGCTCCCAGGGGGCGAACAGAAGCAGACATCCAAGGAGCTGGTGAGCGGGGGCAGGGTCTGCACAAAGGCCAGCCCTAGGACCAGGAAGATGGATCCTGCAGGAGGGAGGCGCTGGCGAAAACCCCGCAAACCCCATCTTTCACCCAGCCCGCTCGGCCCGTCTGTCCAACCCAAGGGGATAGCATGTGGGGGGAACAGCATGGGGAGCCCGGGGGTCAGGAATTTCTGTTCATGGGGAACAGGTCTCCTTTTGGGGTGACTGATGTTCAGCACTAGAAAGAGGTGGTGATCACTCAAGGCACCAAATGCCACATTAAAACAGTGACTTTCACGTCCTATAAATTTCGCTTCATTAAAAATTTTGAGTGTGCTGCCTTCGCACTTGGAACATTCGGGAAAAACCCTCACCACCGGGGAAGCCCTCAGTCTGTGCAGAGGGGAGTGACTTAGGGGCAGGGAAGGAGGGAGAGAGCTAGAGCCTGAGGGCAGGTGTTTCCCTAGCCCATGGGACAGCCCCCTGTCCCCCCTGCACCACTGCTGGCAGGACCTGGAGTAATACCACCTGTAGAACCACATCTTGCTGGCATGCATGTGATGCTTGATTCGAAGTGTGGGCGACATGGAGTGTGGGCGCAGGCCTATGCCGCACACATGTATGCCTCATCTCACGCACACCACTCAGAGCGCCCTCACGCTTGTGGTAGTTCCATAATCTGTTCTCAATTTGAGACTTAAGAGTGAAGGGGTGGAGTTCAGCCTCTCAATCAGGCCACAGCTTGATGAACTCATTTGCAGGCCCTAAGGAGATAAATACACGCATACTCTTTGCCAGACGTTACTGACAAAGAGCCTGATGGAGATATGCTGATGCAGCCAGGGCCCTGGGAACTGGAGGAGCCATTTGAAGACCCTGCGAGCACTCAGATGCTTATACTGCCAATGGATCCTGTCTCCGACCCACTGGCCAGTGATCTTCCTGCATCGGCATCATTGCATGTGTTTCATTGTGTCTGAAGAGGCCTGTATAGATTGGTATTGGACATAAGGACTAATATCATGGACTTGATGGACTTGATCTGGACTGGGCTGGGATGTTGTTTCAATATTCAATTGTTCTTGTATCTAAAGCTCTTTCTCACACACAGATGAGTGTCTGTAAATGTTTCTCTACTTTACC